CCCCATGCTGCTGCCATCCTTGTCCATAGTCTTATTACGTCCCGTATTGATTACTGTAATTCCCTCCTATTTGGTCTCCCTAAAAGTCCCTTCATAAACTCCAACTTCTCCAAAACTCTGCAGCTCGGATCATAACTCTGCTCTGTTAAGAGCTCATATTACAACAGCTCTTCAGCAGCTTCACTGGTTGCCCATAGAAACCAGGATAAACTTTAAAATCTTACTTCTCACATACGAGTGTGTCTATAAATCTGCTCCTTCATATTTGTGTGACCTGCTCCATATCACCACTGTTTCCCTCTCAGATCATCATCTTACTGTTTCATCCTCACACGTCTCATCACTGTGGGGAGCAGAGCTTTCAGTCGCTCTGCTCCCCGGCTTTGGACCTCTCTTCCTCCTGCACTAAGAAATATTGACTCCCTCTCCGTATTTAAGACAAATCTCAAAACATCTGTTTAAACTTATTCACTTTAGTGCTGATTTTATCTGTTGTCAAGCTCTGTTTTGTAATTTTAACTTATTTTATGTATTTTATGACTACTGTTCCTTTTATTTATTGTGTTTTTTGTAAGGTGACCTTGGGTTTCTGAAAGGCGCCCTCAAATAAAATTTATTATTATTATTATTATTATGTTGACGTATTCAGGTGAGTCTGCTAAGCGCGTTCCTCCTGGTGGTAACGATGGTAACCATGGACGTGTGGGAGGAGTCAAATTCAGAGGTTCAGAGTGACACTCACTGTCCACCAGCCCAGTTTGTCTATTCTGGACTTTTTATTTCTCAGTAAGATCTACAAAGATGTGAAATACTCCGTCAGACCATTCCCCCGTGATCAGTCGAGGAAATCAAATATTCCCAACGACGGGATAAGAGGGAGGCGACGCCGCCAGTCCTCTGGGAAGCATTAAAAGCTGTTGTTAGAGGCAAAATAGACTCAACGCATCGAGAAAACTACAAACTGAACATTCAATAACTTTGAAAGGTGAAAGTTTTTACTAAACAGAGCGACCACGACAGAGGTGGGAAATCCTCACGGCTCTTATCATACACGTTAAACTACAGACAGAAATATTCATAACATACAAAATCCCACCAAACGCTTAGCAACGAATCCTGAATCAGCAGGTGAACTGGATCCAACACACCTGTGGACGTTAGTGAGACCACACATGAAGACATCAAAGAAGTGATCAGAGGAAGGTGGGAAACCCTGCAGCATCTCTGAACCCCGACATCGCTCAGGGTGTGTGGACAGAGTGCAACAGCCCCCCCTGGTGGACAGAGGTGGTCATTTCTATTAGAAAGAAGGAAAAGACCTTCGACAGACCTGCGATCAATCAATACTGACTGATCAGACAAACTCAGGACGGTGTTAGGACCAATGTTCCCTCTAAGCTGCGCACTGTTGGCACGTCGCTGCGCAGAGAAAATCTGCGTTGCCACACAAATTTTTTTTAACCTGAATTGAAATTAAAGTAAACATGTGCGACACCGGAGTTTTATCAAAGCGGCTGATGTGGAGTGAAGTTAATCACAACGTGTACAACCATTGGAGATGTGAGCAGGACAGACGAACAACTGACGGTGTGTGGACTTTATACCAGTTTTTAAATTGTGTTGATCGGCCACGTAAAACCAGAGTTATGATAAAATATCTGCAATGTTTGTTTTTCTTCCTGAATACTGTCGTTGTTTATATTTACTGCAGGAAGAAACGGTGAAAACTGCGTTTTATAAGGAAAACG